TTTAGCATGCTAAATACCTATTGGAATATGCTGATTTACACTGTGATATTATCATACCTGGGGGTAGAGATTGATCTTCCCCCACCCGAATGTTGGATGAATGTTGTTTACTTTTTAATTATATGTAATGTTATATGTTATTGTCTGTACCCCCCTCCCTATGAGTTGTTAGCCGCCCTGAGTCCCCTCAGGGAAAAGGGCGGCCTATAAATAAACCTATTCAATTCAATTCAATTCAATTCAATCAACCGTGAGCAGCCTGCAGATTCAAAAATGCCAAATGTCAGCATAGTGGAAAGAAGAGTCACTTGTCCAGAGTTTGCTGGCAGTCCAGCCAGTGGCAGTCCCGTCGGCAGCGCAGTCTTATGCCAAAACCTCCACATAAGCAGCCAAGGCAAGAGGAAAACTGCTTTGCCATAAGGCTACCAAACTATTGAAATTGTCATTGGACAGGCCAGCTGTCAGGCTTGGAAGCTATCAGGGGGATAGAGCCTCAAGTCTGCCACATATTCAAAATTTACTATGGGAAACTGGGAGGGGGGATGGTACGGAGCTTGGGAGATGTGTAGCCATGACATTCCTTCTCAGAAAGTTAAAGTCACCTCATCCCTGCACCTGGATGAATGTGGATGGGAGGAATCCTCATCCACAGAAGTGACTGTGGACCAGGTAATGGACTTGTAGGTGTTGGGGTAGGGTCTTGAACTTTCAACTAGGTGGGGAAATCCTTGAAGCTTTCAGATTTGGGTTTTCCCAGATGTGCCAACATGGCTCTTCTAATAAATTGGTGTTTTGAGGAACTTCTTGCCTCGAGCTATTATTTCATAGAGGAGGCTTTTTGGAACCCCAACACCAGCCTTGCCCTTAAAAAGAAAATTTACCTCAGTCAAGCTAGAAAGGGCCCCCTGCTGCATAGTGCCCGTAATCGTGAAGAAGCGGCTGAAACCCTGCTACCTGAAACTCAGGGACTACCAAGGAAAGAACATCCCGATCCTGAGTAGAATTCAATAAATTTGTCAGACAGGTACAGCAAAAGCCTTCCATGGGCACTAGCCTGCGATGCGTCCCCATAGGGGAATCAGACCTGTCTTAAGCCACAAAATGCCTAATGATTCTGAAGTCCCAATTGCTTTTTTCTCCAGAATTTTATCCTCAGCAGAGTGCAACTAGTCAAATTGATAAGGAAGTCATGGCGGCTGGGGCCAGCGTCAAGTGCTTCCATGAATACATCTATGGCCGCCACTTCAAACTAGTCACGAACACAAACCTCTTTTAGGACTGCTTGCTGGCGACCGCCAAAGTCAAGTGCTATCTCCCCGCATGTCTCAATTGACAGGCTTTCCAGCAGCCTAAACCTACTTGCTGTCACACCACCCAAGAAAACACCAGAGTCACACCAACACCTTGAGCCACTGCCCGCTACCAACCAACGTCAAACACACTGCCCCAGCAAACTCTGTCCTCATCAAGGGTATCCAGTTTCCAGTAACAGCCAATATTGCCAAACATTCAGCAAGGGACAAGGTAATAGCCCAAGAACTGGAGTGAGTGTGATGTTGATGGCCACAGGGAATTGTTGACCCAGAATTCCGACCATTCAAAGCCCAGCAGCACAAGTTGTCTCCTCAGCAGGGCTATTATGGGGAAGTAGAGTAGTCATCCCTCCACTGCTAAGTCCTCGATTTGCGACCGGTCCTAAAGTTCTTGACTAACGACCGGCTGCAAGTCCTCGACTCACGAGTGACAGCCGGCAACAGCTCAGCCACGCCTGATTGGCTAAGGCACGGCTGGCTAAGTGCGGGCTGTCTACAGTACTCCTATTGGTTGCCCTGCTTGACAGATCTAGTATAAATAGCTGTAAAGCAGGGAGAGGTGCTGAATTATGTACATAGTTGCTGTTTGCTAGTTCTGTTTAATAAATAGCTGTTCTACTTATCTCAGCTGCCTCACACCTCTTGATTCAGCTCAGAATCTAACACTGGTGACGAAGGTGGGATGCTGAAGGTTCCCAGCCTGAACAGCTACGAGAAAAGGAAATCCAATTAATTTCCTCTTATCTACGGAAAAAGGATGTTTTTAACCTCAGTTTCGCTGCTGCCTTTCGCGCCCTTCAGGTCTGCGACCGAATCCTGGGCTGGTTTCCTAGAGCGATTTGAGTGTTTCCTCATCACAAACAATTATCATCAATTACCTTTGGACGGTAAATGCAGTTTTTCCTGAGCTCATGCGGTCCCGAGATGTTCAACATTGCCAGGGCTCTCACTTCCCCTTGGCCATGTACAAGCTTAACTGGGAAACACATTGGAAAACTCAGGAACCATTATGCCCCAACTCCATCTCGAATAGCCCGCAGGTATGCTTTCAGACAGTGCATACAAAAGGACACTGAGACTGTAAGTCAATTCTATTGTATACCCAGCAACAGCCTGTGCTGCGCCCTGATTGGTTGGGACGAAGCACAGCCTGTGATTGGATGTTGAAGTGACAGTTAAATGACAGTTGGTGCCTGAGAGTATAAATACCGTGACGTTTGTAACGGAATCTGAATCGCTGACAACTTCTAATAAACATTGCTCTCTGTTCCATGGCTCCTGCGTCTTCCCTCAACCAAAAAACACAAAACTGGCGACGAGGGTGGGATCGCGATTCCGCAGAGCCTGGAATAATAGACAATAAGCCAGTCGCAACGCAACCAAGCGAATGCGAAGAAATGCATTGAAGACCTGTCAGAGCTGCAGCAGCAGTTGCCACCGCCTCAGGTTTCGCCTCCAATCACGCCAACCTGAGTAGATCCTCAGGCGCGGCCTCCATCAGGCAGAGGGACGGGCTCCCGCGCTTAACCTCAGCTGGAGCCGCCGCCACTGCTCAGGGACGAGCTACGAATCACGACGGCTCAACCGCACCGCGGCTGAAGCTGCCTGCCTGTCAGCTGTCATTACGGCACCACTGCTGCCAAACACGTCCAACAAACTGCGTTCGATTAGAAGTCGCCTCAACCGGCTCTACTTCACAAATATAAACTGCGTTCGAATTGAAGTCGCCTCAACCAGCTCCAATTCACAAATACAAAGTGCATGGCCACAACTAGCTTGGCCACTGCCGCTTCCTTCCGTCTCTATCAGGCCGCCAAGTATCTGAATGCCACTACTTGTTCCACCGAACCACGTTGGATCTGTAGCTGTAGTTGAGGAATTCAGCTCAGCCGCTCTGCCTGCGAACCTCTGCCTGCCTCCATCTGCTCTTGCAAAGTCTCTGTTGTCCATCAAACCACTGACAAATCTTTCCAAGTAGTCCCTGATGAGACTGTAGCTTGCCCTGCAGCAGCTCCCGACAAGCCTGCTCTACCTGCCTTCCGAGAAGCAGCTCCTCCAAAGCCACCGCCAGCCGCCGCTGCTGCTGCCTGGAGCCAACCGCTGCTCCACCTGGGCCGCTGCCTGCCTACCAGGAGTCTCTGAAACCGGCTACGCTACCTTAGCCTCAGCCTATCGCTCGCTTAGCCGCCTAAAAATACAAAGCAGCCCAGAAGTCCGACCGCTGCGTTCTACAGCGTCTCCGAAGTCTGTCTCCTGCCAGCAAGAACCGCCGCCGTTCTTCAAAGTCAGCTCCGCTCGGTCAGCCTACCCTTCTCTGGAGCAAACGCGCAAGAAATCCTGTCAGCTAAACATTCCAGCAACAGCGGACCCTGCCTGCATTCCGATCGAGCAGCCGAGGAGCCGAGACGCCGCCGCCGCCACATCCACAAAGCCGCTCACAATCCACAAAGCCACTCACAATCTCCTCCTACACAAACAAACCTCTCCGTTATACTGCCTCCCTGCCGCTGCTGGCCCCGCTGTCCTATTCCGTTGGCCTCTTTAAAACTCAGGAACGAGCCACAGAGTTCAATTGAAGGTCCTGAGCCAATTTGTGGGCCGCAGCAACGTCGAGGCGCAGAACGCATGCACAGAACTGGAGGGGGGAATGTAAATGAATATGCAAATAACGTATATGTAAATGTTGAATGTGAAACAACATGGAGTGTGAATGTGCAATTGGCTGGATTGGGAATATCCAAATAACTGGGGGGAAGGAGAGAATTGTAAATGTTGAATGTGAAACAACACGCAAATAGATGTAAATGTTGAATGTGAAACAATACGCAAATAGATAACACACAAATAGATGGTGATTATGCAAATAACTGGGGGGAAGGAGTATTGTACACCCAGCAACAGCCTGTGCTGCGCCCTGATTGGCTGGGACGAAGCACAGCCTGTGATTGGATGTTGAAGTGACAGTTAAATGACAGTTGGTGCCTGTGACCGTTTGTAACGGAATCTGAATCGCTGACATCTTCTAATAAACATCATTGCTCTCTGTTCCATGGCTCCTGCGTCTTCCCTCAACCAAAAAACACAAAAAATTCTTGCAGTCTCTTAGAACGGCAGCTATACAATGTGAGTTCATCAACCTTGACTATTCCTTGGTCAAGCAATTTGCCTGTGGTGTTCATGATGTCCACCACAAGCAGAGATTGCTCGCCCGGGCTAACATCACCTTTCAGCAGGCGGTGGAAGAAGCCAGAGCCACCGAGCTGTCAGAACAATCCATGGCAGAAATGCAGCACTGCCAACAACTAATCGCCCCTCCACAGAGAACCTGCCTCATTGATGAACTGGTCCCCCTGGATGACCTAGAGGAAGATCAGGTTGACCGCCTCAGAGCTCAGCCCAGAAGGCTTCCGCGGCAACTATGCTCATGCCACTTGCCCATTCAGGGCAGCCACTTGCCCATTCAGGGCAGCCACTTGCCCATTCAGGGCAGCCACTTGCCGCTGCTGCTCGAAAAAAGGCACCTGTCTCACGTTTGCTGGGCTACCCTGCCGCCAGTGGACTACCATCTGCCACTGCAAGCGGCCTCCCATCCGACGCCACCATTGACATTTGCCCCTAAGGGACAACTGCTACGCTGTCACCAAAAGCCTGCTGATGTCCCCACCGTCTCGGTCAGCAAGGCCTCAGCTGACTCAAAAAAAAATTACTGCGTCCCTGCTCATTGAAGGTGTTCCGTGCGTTATGGAGGTGGACTTGGGATCCTCCCGCTCCCTTCTTTCCTGGAGTGCCCTGTCCAAAATGTGCCGTACCAGCTGATGCCTCCTGACATGCCTTTAAAGGATTACCAGGAGACTCACATTCCCATCCTGGGCAGCTATGCCGTTTGGGTTGACTACGGGAATTTCCATGGGAAACTCCCCATCCTGGTGGTTGGGAAGCCCCTGCCCGCCCTATTGGGGCTTGAGTGGTTCCTCTTGCTGGGCCTGTCACTCTTGGGGTTTACCAAACCTCGGCCGCCCGCCTACCGTGGAGGACATCATCTGAGTTCACTGACATCTTCGACGGTAAGTTAGGGGAATAAAGGGGCTCCCCTATTTCTTTAAATCTAGACCCCCAGGTTGCCCCTATCCGGCTAAAGACTCAGAGGTGCCATTTGCCTTGAGGCCAAAGGTTGATATCGAACTGTACAAGTTATTGGTGCAGGGAGTGCTGGAGCCCATCAACCATTCAAAATGGGAGATCCCCTTAGTGGTGCCCGTTAAGGCCGACGGGTCTATCAGGATCTGCGCCAACCATTAACTACTTCGCCCTCCAGGCAAATCCATATCTAGTCCCTGTTGTGCAGCACCTGCTCAACTCCTTGGGGCAGGACTGCATCTTTGCCAAACTGGATATGGCGCAGGCCTATCAGCAGCTCCTGGTGGATGAAGAGGCCACCGCTGCCCAGACCATCATCACCCACCAAGGGGCTTTCCGCTGCCGCTGCTTACAATTCAGCGTTTCTGTTGCCCCGAGGATCTTCCAGAGCCTCATGGAGCACTTGCTCCATGGGCTCCCAGGCGTAGTTCCCTACTTCGATGACATCCTGATCGCTGACTACAGTCGATCAGGCTCATCGAAGTCCTCTGGAAGGTCCTTGAATGTTTCAGGGGCACGGGCTTGAAATTAAAGTGCAGCAAATGTTCATTTGCTATGTCCAGGGTGGAGTTCCTGGGCTTCTTAGTGGTCCATCCTACTCTTGCCAAAGTAGCTGCCGTCAGGAACACCCCAACGCCAACCTCTAAGGCAGAGCTGCAGGCGTTCCTCAGCCTTTTGAATTTCTATGCGCTTTTCCTTCCGCACAAGGCATCACTAGCCGAGCTGCTGTATCGTTACTCGACCGATCTGTGGTCTGGTGTTGGGGCAGCTGCAAGGCGCATGCATTTGTGGCTGCCAAAGCGATGCTTACGTGAACAGCTGTTAGTCCAATAGTGACAAGCTGCCCCTGACATTAGCATGTGATGCCTCCTCCCCCTTTGGTGTGGGGGCGGTTCTGAGTCATGTATTCCGTCAGAAGCCCCCATAACTTTTTACTCCAGGACACTCTCCTCCGCTGAGAGGAACTACAGCCAGATCGAAAAGGAGGCTCAGGCTGCTGTGTCTGGAATTAAAGTTTCACGGCTACCTGTACGGATGGCATTTTACTCTATACCACAAGCCTCTCCTTGGACTTCTGGCCAGTGACCATCCTACACCTCCTATTCGCTCTCCTAGAATGACCTGCTGGACGGAATTCCTCATGCCGTACTCTTATATGCTGCAGTACCGTCAGGGCAAGCAGCTAGGGCATGCAGATGCCTTCAGCTGCTGCCCCCTCCGTGACTGACCCTCACCCTGTCCCATCCACTTCTATTCTCTCTATCGCCTCTCTGGGCCTGCTGTTCACCTCCACTGATATAGCGGCCCACTCCCTGGCAGACACCGTCCTTTCCCATGTTTTCACTTGGGTGTAGAGGGGTTGGCCCTTGGGGAAGGTGTCCAAGGCGTTCCACCCTTTTAAGACCCACCAGCTGGAGCTCTCCCTCCACAGGGGGTGCTTACTCTGGGGTGACTGGGTCATCATTCCCCCCTCCCTCCACCATCAGGTACTTGACCGCCTTCATCGGGATCACCCAGGCATAGCTCGCATGAAAGCTTTGGCTCGCAGCAATGTTTGGTGGCCTCGGATGGATGAGAAAATCACATCATGGGTGAGCCACGGCACCTCTTGCCAGGTATCCCGTCCCTCTCCCTCCGCTGCACCTGTCCGGGACTGGGACATTCCTAGGGGTCCTTGGTCTTGCATCCACTTGGGGTCCCTTCCATAGTCAGAATTTCCTGGTGGACGTAGACGCCTATTCACGTTGGATAAAACTATTTATGACATCTACCACAACTGAATGCACTCCAGGATGCGAATGGAAAACTCCCAAACACCATGGTCCCAAATAGAGTTAAAGGTCCATTCCAGGGGTAGACCTTTCTGGTGGTGGCAGACGTGTATTCAAAATGGTAATAAGTAATACTTATGTTATCAAACAGTGAGGCCGCAGTTATGGCCCTTTGAAAGTTACTCACTACCCATGGACTACCAGACATCGTGGTGTCCAACAATGCATTTCAGTTAACATTGGCACCTTTCAAAATATTTCTAGATGGTCATGGAGTCAGGCACGCCCTGATAGCTCCATTTCACCCCTTCAGCAATGTGCAGGTGGTGCAAATGCGCTCCACTAAGGAGGCACTAGCCAAAATGGACCCAGGGGACTGGTAAGCAAAGATAGCTCAATACCTGTCAGTACAGCATGCCATGCCTTGCCCCTTGACGAAGCTCTCAATGGACTGACGGTTGAGGACCAACCTTGACAGGTTACACCCCTGCTATGCCCTAGAAAAATCGTTTTCACTGGCTGGATCAAGCTTGTGCAAATGCTACGGACATCTTCAAAAATAAGGCTTCAAAGGAAAGAAAAATGGTTTGTTCCTATTGGCTGAAATGGCTGACAGCTCCCTATAAAAGGCGAGCTGTCAGCCAGACTAATTGCTGGGCTCTATTGATTGTTAATAGAGTGTTGCATCAGATCTCTATCTCTTCCATTCAACTCACTATCTAACACTGGCGACGAAGGTGGGATCAGAAGAACAATAAAATAAAAAAGAGCTGATCGCAATCCCAGCTGGAGAGGAACACAAAGACAAATTGTCATTTGCTGCAGCCCATTCTCCTTGACCATCAATGCATCCGCTAATCACTGATTTGTTTTGGTCTACTCAAGATGGCTGTCATTGCTCCGTTCACCACATACAACGCAGCATCAGAGAAATGGGGCACCTATATTGTCCAGTTCAAGTGCTTCCTAGAAGCAAATGATTTTACAGAACTTTCTGATAGCAGGAAAAGGGCACTATTCCTGACTTATTGTGGCCTGGACATCTTTTAGATAGTCAGAGCCCACTTCGCCCCAGCAGCAGTGCAAACCGTACTGTGGATCACACTACAGGCTACACTCAGAGCACACTATGTGCCCACACCATCAAAAATTGCTTGGCACCATGCATTACGATGGAATTAAGAGGGCAAATCAATAAATGAGAATGTTGCCGCTCTTCGGAAAGTTGCTTTATTTTGTGACTTCAGAGCTTGATGACATTCTACTTGATAGGATTGTCTGTGGTGTGACACACGTTAATCTACAAAGGCATCTCCTAGGTCAAGCTGAACTGAAACTTGCAGATAACACTACTAGACGAAGCCCAAGCCGCAGAAACATCAAACCAACCCAAAATGACAATTCAAAAAGCAATTAGCCCACCATCCTCACGCAGAGCTGTTGCAGTCCACCATGACAATGTGGAGCAAGAAGAATCCACTGATGATGAGGGGGAGATCTGCTGACTCCGTTCAGCTAAAAGACAAAACCCAATGGAAAAAAGGCAAACCGTGTGTATGGGTTGCGGTGGCAGATCAGTGTGCAGGTTTAAAGACGCAATTTGTCAATGGTGTGATAGAAAAGGACACATAGCAAGGGTCTGTTGCTCCAATCAACCTGCCACACAGACGGGGCCCAAGAAAGCACAATATAAGCAGCAATGTTGGGGAGAAGAATGTTTTGCAGTATCCAAGGGCACATATCAGGCACAGAAGATCATTGGGCAAACCATCCAAGACCACTCAAATACATGTCACTGTACTAATCAAGGGCTTCCCATGCTATGTGGTGGACACAGGGTCCTCCATAATTGTGTTCTGGATTATGATGACTATTAGTCTCAGCAAATAACAACGAAGAACTCATCAACTGAGAATAGTTTTAAGCTGATTTCAGAAGGTGGGGCAAGAAAGTCAAAAAAGAAAAGTGCCAAATAACACTGCCACGGGTCAAGTTCCTGGGCTACCTGATAGATTGCTCAGGCTTACACCCACTGAGGAAAAGTATGATCCATATAGGAAGCTCCTACCCCTACCCCAAAAACAAAGACAGAATTCCATGCATTTCTAGGCCTATTGAACTTTTATAGTATTTTTCTACCACGTTTTCAGTAGCCGAACCATTGCACCAGCTACTGGACCTGGGGCTGGAAGGAAGCCACCCCATTTGCAGCTGTCAAAGATCTACTGTCACCCAAGAGCGTGTTGATCCAATATAGTGAGAATCTCCCATTGGTTCTCACATGTGACACCTCCCCCATTTGGAGGAGCTGTCCTGAGCCATCGACTTCCAAATTGGACTGAGGCCCCAATTGTGTATTATTCCAGGACATTGTCAGCAGCTGAGAGAAACTATAGCCAGCTGGACAAAGAGGCTTTAGCTGCCTTAGCCATAATAAAAAGATTCCACAAGTACTTGTACTATTTTCTTGACATCAAGAACCCTGTGAGGTGGGCTGAACTGAGAGAGAATAACTGGCCTAAGGTCACTAGCCAGCTTTCTTGTCTAAAGCAGAATTTGTCCTTAAACTCCTGGTTTCCAGGCCAGCATATTAACCACTACACCAAACTGCTGTAATTTTTTCCCCTCAGTCTTCTGACCAGGAGTAGGCAACACCCACTACTCCCCAATACCATTTTTATAGTTCCCAGATCTGTTCCCAAAATATATGGCTCAGGAAAATTGCAATGATACAAAATAAAAAAATTGTAACAGGATTGACATGGCCTTTTGTAATTGTGTCTTTATGTCATGTTCAAGAACATAAATTACATCGTTTGCCTAACAATACACATTTTATCTCCATCTCTTCTGAGGATGCCCATGTTAACAGGCAAAATAACATTTTTGAGCTAGTTAAGTTTCTTTCGTTATTTACATATATTTTTCAATTTGGTCGGAGCAAACATTGTTCTCAGGGTGGCAACATTGTTTCCAATTAATATAGCTTTCATTATTTAGATATATTTCTGGATTTTGAATGAAAGGAAGACTTATTCCATACCAACAAACGTTAATTCAATCCACTTTGCTATCATTATTATAGCTAGAGCATACACATTATTTTCAACGTATTTTGATTTCATAATGACCTTAAAATTTCCTATAAGTAGTAAGTGTAATAATAGTAAGCCTGTAAACATGTCTACTTAAGAAAAAGAAAGCTCCCCCCCCCACAAAAAATGTCCAAATTCTACTGATTTTAATAGTTGTTCATGATTAAATTTGGATCAACCCTACTGCAAAAAGCCAGAAGATATGAAACGTTATCATGAGAAATGAACTTTTGTCAACACTGAATTGGACATCAGTTTATCTGGGATGANTGTTTGAATCGCTGTCATCTTCGTTTTCTCTTGTAAATAAAGAAGTTCTTGTTAGCACACCCTGGCTGTCGCGTCCCTCCTTTCAATCCTCAATAGACTCAGTCCAATTGGATACTGGATGGAATAAACCCAGCCTGGCTGCTATCTCCACCACCCAGAGAACTGGTGCCAATGCCCATTCTCAAGTGAAACCAGAACCTAGCTGGAAAGAAGATTCAAAGTCACTGGGTGGGATAAGGTCTTGGCATAAATTGAGTAAACTTTTAAGTTTCCAGAAACAAAAGTCAGGGAGTCATATTGGGGCACATTCAATGAGTATTTCTCTTAGTTACAAAACACATTGGACAGCTGCTGATAGTTATATAGACTATTCTGGATGTACAGACATTTTAGCTGTTTATTGGATTTGGAGACCACTCCAATTGTAGATGATTAAGAATGGTTTAGACAAAGACCAAATAGTAATAAACGTGTTTCCAGAAGACTAAAAACAAGGCCAATCTATTAGTGCTTTGCCTCAGCTAATTCTCATGCTATGCCATACTTGAATACAAAGTGATTTCTGTTTGCATGATTAGTTTTGCCCAATCAAGTATTGATTATATATTTTCTCTCTCCCCCCACATCTTTGCTTCATCTGCTATTTCTTCCAGGAATCCCTACAATTTTCATCATCATATGGATAATAACTAGAGTTTATCTAGACAACAATGGGTAAGGACCAATTAAATAGCAGCATATGCACTTCCAGGCTTCATTGTAAAATGTACTGGCTCTGGTTGCATGAATTTAATCCTGGATACACAGGTTGCAACAGGTAACACAAGTAGATATGTTAAATATGAACTCGAATTGTGATTGTTAGAGCTAGTTGCCTTTTCTTAGCTGCTTCTGTTTAATGCAGAATGCCTTATGGCAGGAGTGTCAAACTGGATTTCTTCGAAGGCCAGGTCAGCATTGCAGTTCTCCTCCATGGACCGATGGGGGTGGGGACAGGAGAGTGATATTTCCAGGCTGGTCCTGTGGGCCAGATTTAAGCACCTTGTGTGCTGGGTCTGGCCCACCCCTACCGTATGGGAAAGGGGGAGGATGTTTAAAAGGTCAGTGTTGCATCACAGCCTCCTGATCTTCTGAAGCATCATAGGAGATCAGTCGGTTATACCAGCAAAAAGAGCACAGCCGACAAAATTCTGTCATTTTTGGCTTTCTGTCATTTTGATTTTTTAGTGTGAGGATGAAACTTTCAGTTTTGAATCAAAATTGAATCATTCAAATTGAGCCAGTATTGCAATGCTGATACTAGATCATGCAAATGGGGTGTTGGAGAATCCATTTATAGGCACAATCCTAGTATGGAGTAAAGACAGTAAAGAAGTAACAACTTTGCTGCACAAAATAATGGCTATACCTGATATCTTGGAGAGAAAAAAAACCCCAGATATAATGTAATGAATTTAATGTATGATCTTTATTTAAAATGCAGAGCAAATAACTGAAAAATACGATGTAATTTCTGAACGCTGTGTTCCTTCCTTGTCCCCCACCCCCATCTTACCTGATCATGACCTTAATGCCCATTCTAGACATCATTTTATTTATTTAGCAGATTTGGAAGCCTGGGTAGCTTACGCTTCAAATGGGAAAACAATAAAAAGAATCTCAAGTGTCCAGACAAATTCTGTCACAGCCTCAACAAACAACCTCCCACAAGGCCTGGGAGGACAGCCAGTCTTTTAAAGAGTTGCAGAACAACATTTTAAAAAAAAAATGATTGATTATGTCTCATCAAGCTGGTGTTGGTGCTTGGCAGCCAGAAACATAATCAGGATGGATGCTATTTGGATCTCCCTAAAGGGATAACTTTCCAGAGGAGAGGTGCTTCAACAGAGAAGGCCTGGTTTATGGGTCTTGATAGATGGCATTAAAATCATGCAGGAACAGTGTCAGTTACGGAGGAGGACATTTCAAACTACCACCAAAAAAGCAATGTCTACGCCCCTGATGGCGAGCCTGTGGCACATGTGACACAGGTGGTATGCAGAGCCCTCTTTGCAGGCACGCAAGCCATCGCCCCAGCTCAGCTCCAACACGCAAGTGCGCGCACCTCCCACCAGGCAGCTGATTTTCGGGTCTCGGCTGCACATGCACGGGGGGGGGGCACATGCAGAAGACTTGCGCACATGTGCGGGGTGGGTGTGCCATCTGTGGGCAGGATGTGCAGCACGCCTGTTTTTGGTTCCAGGAGGCTACAAGGAGGTCTACTAAGCCCAAAATGAGGTGCCGGGGGAGGGGGGGTCTCATGTGCATGCATGGGGGGAGCGCAGGGGGTTGCACATGCATGTGCATTATGGATTCAAGCTTTCAGCACGCAACGACAAAAATGTTAGCCATCACTGGTCTACGCTCTTCATAGTATATATTGTTTGTGATATGCAGGTACAACTCTCTTCAATGCAACTTGCGTTAATTATTCTGGGCTTTTGTTTTGAAACTTGCTCGTTCCCCAGCAAGAAATGAAATGCCTCATATGATAAATATGGACTGCCACATGATATGAAGGCTGGCCAGAGAAGTGAATGCCTGGAAAAATGCAAATTTAAGAAGTGTTTTCTTCCTCCATCCAGTATTTCCAACATTTCTCTAATTTTCCCAGGCTTTAAGACCTCTGTGACTGATAACCTAGATTTGGATTTGTTGAAAATTTTAAAGTTGTACCTAGCTGGGCTTTCTTAAAAAGGAAATTAAAAATAGTGAATCTCAAACTATATCAATGAAGAAGAAAACTAGGAGACATTAAAAAGAAGTCAATGTAGTTGAATAGGCAGCTTATGAAGGAGCTGAGCCAACCGAAAAAGATAGGGAATGGAAGGCAAGAGAGGAAGTTGAGCAATGTAGCAAAGAGGTTGGGAAGGCAAAGGTAGAAAATAGCATCAGGCTCACAAGGAAGGTTTCTTCAAGTAAGTCAATAGCAAGAGGAAGATAGAAGAAAGGAGAAATCGCTTTCAGTTCAAGCGGAGAAATCTTGATCTTTTGGATACAGAAGCAAAATCCTGCTATTTTGCTTCTGTATCCAAAATAAATGGTCATTTGAGTAGCATTGATTTTAGAAGAATATTCATAGAGAGGGTTGAAGTCAGTAAAGATGTGGTAACAGAGCCACTATGAATGTCTTCCAAGTCTCCAAACCTTGAGAAGTGCATCCTACAACAGTGAAGTTGTTTGAGGAAGAGACTCTCTTCAAAGTTTGCATGTCAAAAGATTGGAGGAGAGCAAATTCCTTCTTCTTTCTTCTCCTCCTCTTCCTTATCCTTCAAAAAAAAAAAAGTTCCCAGTAAGTATTGACCTGTCAGCCTAATATTAATTAACATTAAAGATGTTACAGTAGAGCAAATAATATGCATGTCATTTGTAAACTTGTAAATGGTGCTTTTATTGCTAAGTGTCAGCATGGTTTTATGAAAAATAGGTCATATGAGACATGATTGGACAAGATAATTACTTTAATGGAGTATGGGAGTGCTATGTATATAACCTATTAGGAGAAAAAAGTGGAGATGGGTGTGGAATACTTCACAGGAGCGTGTAAATGTACATTAGGGTAACACTCTTGCTCTCTTCCTTGTAGCAGTTGATCTATCAAAAGAGACAATGTCTTCCCAGTGCTAAGCTGTTAAATAAAAGCCCTATAAAATTTAGAAGGAATGGCCTAGTTTCTAAATGTATTATTTATTAATCAAGTGTGTATAGCCCCCAACTCACACGTTTACTTATACATTTTATTTATTTATAAAATTTATTGGCTACATCACCATAGGGTAACTCTTGAGTGCCTTAAAAGTATGTCATAAAAGTATGTCTTTACATATACAATTAAAACATAATTAAAATCAAACATTAAACCTAAGGGCACATGGGAAGAGTGGGAGCAAAGTGGGGGGAGGTGGGATCTGTTGTTACTTGATTAGCCATCTCCACCATGCTGTTCCCCAACTGGGCCCCAAGCCAACTGGCAGAGCCATGACCATAGTATCTTACAAAAGGAGGGGTGGGCAAAAATCTCATCAGGGGGCAAGATGTTCCAGACCAATGCCATTTCTATCTCGTAACTGGGCCTGAATCTTAACTGAAAGGGGTCCAAATAATCCATTTCATCAGGACCCTTTACAGCTGTGAGTGTCCGTATAGGTGGGATCCAGTGATGGTTTTTTAAGGAGGGGGAAAACCAAGACTTTCTTAAAAGCATCCGGAAATGTCCCCTCCTCACTCTGACTGAAAATGGTTAGTCATCATTGTAATAGGGCAAGACGTCAACCAGCCTGATGTCGCCGGGGAGACGGTCAGCCAGGCGTCCGCCGGTGCCCGGAAGGTCTTTCCAGTTCTCCAGCTGGAAGGTCAGCCCTGCCGCATGGAGGTGGACTCTGGCTCCTCCTGTTCCCTGCTCTCCTGGTCCACATTCTCCCGCCTGTGTCACCGCGACACCCACGACCAGCTGCAACCGGTGGACACCTCCCTCAGAGACTACCAGGGGACTCTTATTCCCACCTGGGTTCCTTCCCCATTTGGGTTGACTATGGGGACTTTCATGGCCATTTGCCTGTCCTGATTGTACAAAAGCCCCTGCCTGCCCTGTTGGGTCTCGATTGGTTCCCTCCCCTGGGGCTGTCCATTGTGGGGATTCATCGGGTGGGTACCTCTTCCCTATCTTTAGAAAGTGTCCTCACGGAATTTGCGGACATTTTGGATGGCCAGCTGGGCTCCTACAAGGGCACCCCCATCTCCCTTAACCGACCCCCAGGTTGCTCCAATTTGGCTGAAGGCTTGCAGGGTGCCTTTTGCCTTGAGAGCCAAGGTTGATGCCGAGCTGGATAAGCTGTTGGCGCCTACTCTTGCTGGGTGGAACTGGTCCTTATGACCTCCACATCCACTGAAAGTACAGTCCGGGCCCTACGCCATTTTTTCGCAACCCACGGGTTGCCGGACGTGGTTGTTTCAGACAACGGGCCCCAATTCACTTCCACCACATTCCAGGAATTCCTGGCCTTGCAGGGTATCTGGCACGCGCCCACCGCCCCGTACCATCCGGCCTGCAATGGCCGGGCAGAGCACGTGTTCCGTTCAGCCAAGGAGGCACTTGGCTGGATGGACCGGGGCAATTGGCAGACAAGGGTGGCGGCTTACCTGTTAAGCCAACATTCCACCCCCTGCCCAACAACCAACAAAAGCCCCGCGGAGCTCTTGATGGGTCGGCGCCTGCGGACCCCCTGGATAGGCTTCATCCTCTCTATTCGGGGGAGGGCCCGCTCGTCTGGGCCCACTCGTTCTCTGGGGAATCTAAATGGGTGGCTGCCTGTATTGTGTCCATAATCGGGCCCTGTTCTTACAGGCTCGGATTGGCCGATGGATCCAAGTGGAGGCACCACGTGTATCAGCTAAGGAGGCGTCTCCCTGTGTAGACCGGCGTCCCGTCTGATTCAGGGCGCAGCGACGCTGCTGCCTGCCAGCCAGTCCAAATGTTCCAGTTTGAGGCCTTTCCCCAGGCAGGCCTCTCCTTGTCAGCTTTCCTGGCCACCCCCCCACCCCAGTGGTGCCTGCTTGTTAGTGGGAGGCTCCGAGAGGCCCGTGGTCTCACTTACATGTTGACTTTGCCGGCCCCTTCCATGGCCAGGTGTTCCTGATCGTAGTGGACACTGGGTGGAGCTGGCCCTCATGGCCTCCACCACGGCAGAGAGTACCATCAGGGCCCTGCATAGGTTGTTCGCGACTCATGGCTTGCCAGACGTCGTGCTATCAGACAACGGGCCCCAGTTCGCGTCCACTGCATTCCAGGAATTCCTGGCCTTGCAAGGCGTCCGGCACTTGCCCACCACCCCCTATCATCCGGCCTGCAATGACTGGGCAGAGCACACTGTCTGCTCGGCCAAGGAGGCCCTTGGCCGGATGGAACGGGGTGATTGGCCAGCGAGGGTGGCGGCTTACTTGCTAAGCCAACACTCCACCCCCTGCCCAATGACCAACAAAAGCCCCGCGGAGCTGCTGATGGGTCGGCTCCTGTAGACCCCCTGGATAGGCTTCATCCTCTCTATTCGGGGGAGCAGCCATGCAACCTGGGGGTCTCCCCTCCCTGCACTTTCCTTGTGGGGGATCTGGTCTGGGCCCGCTCGTTCTCTGGGGAATCTAAATGGATGGCTGCCTCTATTGTGTCCATAACTGGTCCCTGTTCTTACAGGGTCGGACTGGCCGATGGATCCGAGTAGAGCTTCCACGTGGATCAGTTAAGGAGGCATCTCCCCCTTGAGACCGGCGCTCCTACTGATCCAGGAACCCAGGACACCGCTGCCTTCCTGCCAATCAACGAGTTCCAATTTGAGGCCTTCACCAAGGCAGGCCTCTCCTCTCCTGGTGTTGCAGGTGTTCCACCTGCCCTTCCTGTTCCTCAAGCCGAGTTCGCGTTCTTGGACTCAGCTGTTCAGGCCTTCCCCCAGTCAGGCCTCACCTACCCGGACGCCACCTGCTGGCTGTCGTCCCCATTGCAACCTCAATCCGTTCCGCTTCCTCCCCCTGGTTTCCAAAGTCTCAGTCTATCGGCCGCCACCTACCGTCACCGTGACTCCACCCCTGAAGTTGCGCCCCCTCGGCCAGGCCTACCTACTGTGTTGCACCCGCTTTCTGGGCCGATCCAAGATGGCATAACTCGGAGCTCCACTCCCTTTGGGGAGGAGCTTCTACGAGCACGAGCCACCCCTCCGACAACTCCTGAAGGACTGAGGCGTTCTGGGCGGGTCCGGCGCCACCCCGCCTACTTGACCGAATAAGCATGCTCCAACTCTGCTCATGCGCTCTCGCTGGGGGGGGGGGAAGGGGTGTTGAGGACTCAGAAAGTCCTCGACTTACGACCTAGTGGCTAGCAACTATCCAAGCCACGCCCTGATTGGCTAGGGCGTGGCTTGGCTAAGCGCGGGCCGCTAGGGGCGCGCTTATTGGCTTGCCCTACTTGACAGCTCCATATAAATAGCTGTCAAGCAGGGAAGGTGCTGAATCGCCTGTATATAGTTCCTGACCTGTAATAAACTCTTCTGTGTTCTCAAGTCCTGGCTCCTGCCTCGTCCTTCCGTCGATCCTCTAAACTAACAACCCCTGGGCTCACTGCCCAGAGGTGCCAGGGATCAGCTCATCTTCCTCCTTCGAACTAGTGTCCAGAGAGGAGACTGGCAATGTGTTCATTATATAGATAGTTGTCCTGGTACCACTGCAACTCCTCTCCCATCTATCTAGTCTCATAACAGTCTAAAAATAATACTTCTTTCTGATTTACAATTATATTGTAGTCCCCTCTGATTTTTCTATTTTCAAATTTTCTCACAATTGTGCTAGAGTTAAGCAATAATTATGGTACAATGAATGACACAGGATTTATTATGTTTATTTATTATGTATCCTTGCTGAAAGAATTAGATTCATTATTTGTTTCCCTTTTTATAAACAGTTGCTGGGATACAAATGATCATAGTGCTCCTTGGTGGATTATACGAGTACCAATCCTAATTTCCATTTTAGTAAGTAAATTCAGCATTGGGAATGAATTATGTCAATGTAATTTTTTCTCACTAGTTTTTTATGCCAGTTGCCAAATGCCCTGATTTTGTTTACATTACCACAGACTGTCATAAGTATGAGGGTAGGTTGTAAGTCACTTTTTCAGTGCCACTATAACTTCAAATGGTTGCTAAACAAATCGTTGTAAGTTGACCTGTGTAGAATTATTTACTTGTTTGTTTCATCCTGCCTTTGTTATTTTTACAAATAATTCAAGTTGCTAAACATATCCAATACACCTTGTGAGCAACCTTGTGAGGTGAGTTGGGCCAAGAGAGGTCATCCAGCTGGCTTTCATGCCTGAGATGGGACTTGAACTGTCAGCCTCTTGTTTTTAGCCTGGTACCTTAGCCACTAAACTGGCTTATGACATGCAATACTAGTGTTAATGACAATAATATGGTGGTAGAAATGATGGAAATAGGACTTTAGTTAAGGACTAAAATAGAATCTTATTATAGCTCCTAATTTAAGGAAATAATATAATTCTGAGACAGATGAATGAATAGGTGTATTTATTCAGAGGTCTGTCTGTCTCTCTTTTATGATTTCATTTCATAAAACCCTATCTAAAGGCCAATTAATCTTTTTAAAAGATTCCGGAGAATAAAGTTATTAAATATCTTTTCCCTCTCTTTAATTATCTTGAAATGTCTTTATATTAAAAACTGAATATTCATGGACAGATCTGTGGTTGCTAGGTGATCAACTCTTAGAATTCAGCCCAATATTGATCCCCTCCCCCAAGATAACATCCCTGAATTCCCTGTGAATTTATTCTAAGTGGATGAACATAAGAATGAATTATATTCTTTCAATTGGATGTATATATTTAACTTCTAATATATAGTGTTAGATACACCAAAGTGTAATTCTTTCTATATTTAACTGTGAGTACATCTTAATCTACATATTAAGGCAATATTTTTCATCTTTGCAACTTTAAAATAGATGAATTTCAACTTCAAGAATTTGGGGTGGGAATTCTGGGAGTTAAAATCCATCTATCATAAAGTTGCCAAGGTTGAGAAACAGCAGTAAGTTTTTTCTTCTGAACATCATTACAGGATTTAAGTTATCAGTGAACGGTTGGCAAAACTATGCATTATGATATATTTTTTTAAAAAATGTTTTTATTATACATTTTCCTTTATAATACATGGCATTTCCAGTTTTGCAACAAAAGTGTACTGGCTAAATCAAGTCCTTTTTAAATATACATAGTGTTATACATCCTGATTATAACCATTATTTTCATAGTCACACAGTATAGACTTTTTTACATACATAATGTTGTATCTCACAGTTATAACCATTATTTTCATAGTTGTACCATAACGCTCCATATATTTATCACTCTATACTTTTTAATCTATATGCACGTACAGTCCAATAGTAATATTACTTGCAGTATTCTTATATATACATATATAGCTGCATTTACATTATGATACAATTATAAATGCCTCTGTTAATTCTTTCATAGGTAAATTTTGTCATTTTCATTAGCATAATAAGAATTCTGCTGCAGAAGTTAAGATCGCCAGATGTGGGAGGCAATGAGCAATCACAATACAAGTGAGTGAAATTCAACTCCCTGTATGTCTCTTGATAGAGATTCCTATTGGCAAAACACAAATCAAAGGAGCTCTGATGTATCCTAATGGACTTATTTTATGTGTTTATTTTTAAGGAGACTTGCAAAATCAACGTTGCTTCTGATTCCACTCTTTGGTGTTCACTATGTGGTTTTTGCAGTCTTTGGCGTTTCTAAAAAGTACCAGATAGTTTTTGAATTATGTCTGGGTTCATTTCAGGTAGTAGCTGAGCAAGTTTTCTTCTTAAAATAATTCTGATTTAATTTTATTACTGTGTTTTAACTTGTTAATATTTTGCCCTTGCAGGGACTGGTTGTTGCGATCCTGTACTGCTTTCTGAACAGTGAAGTAAGTTTATATCTTCTTGGGATAAGTTTGGGGGCAGTAATAATATTTCAGGCAATTATGCTGTTGTTCAGCTGTTGACTGAACCCTTTAGATTCACCTTCCAGTATATGGAGGTAGGAGTGAGAAAGGGCCATCTGGGCAGGCGGATTACTTTAAGTGAGAGTAGATGGAACCTTGTTTTAAACACTGAAAAAACTATAGCATGTTTTAAATCGTAGTTTGTTGAAGAGACAGGGTTGTAAAGTGAGTACTGTGCCACAGATAGGAGTGGAAAATCAAGAATTCCCTTCCTTCTTTCCTGGTTATATTCTTTAAATACGTGTAATTTACTTCCTTGCTATTTTTAAAAATGTATTACATCTGGTTCAGCATTTCATTTCTATTTGAAGCGAGCCACCAATTTTCCAGAACGTGGTTGAAAGAGGCTCCAGGAGGCCCTCAAATGAGCCTGAAAGCCACTTCTTGCCTTAAAGTATAGTTTATAAACCACAGTGTCTGGATATAGCTAACATACTGTGGGATTAAAAAAACAATAATCCTAGTATGCAGGGGTGAAATCAACTTACCTTTACTACTGGTTTGCAAATGTGAGCGTGTGCGCTTCGGTCGCATGTGCCACCTTTGTGCTTGCACAGACGTTCCATGCATGTGCAGACCATAAAAAATGGGATGTGTGGGCAAAGCTTGCTACTGAGCATGCCTGCAAAGGTAAGTAGAACAGCGAGGGAGGGAATCTGCCATGCCACCCAATTTAGATTAGCTAGAAAGCAGGAAATCCAATGATTCTCGCTAATATAAATCGCGCGTCACAGCTGATCGTCAGAAATACCAGTTTGCCCGAACCGGTAGTAAAAAATGCTATCGGTTCGGGCAAACCGGTAGCATTTCACCCCTACTGGTATGACATGTGAACCCAGCCTTTCAGCTAACTGGAATAGTGGTTTTTTTTCCAGAAAGAGGGAAATACTAAGCAGGAGAGGCATTATACGCTATGACTCTGGTGGGAAACATTGTATTTTTGCAACCCAACTCAAACACCAACCCAAACTTGAAGCAGCCATTTGTGGACTTCATTCTTTGAATGAGCCAAGGTGGCGCAGTGGTTAAATGCAGCACTGCAGGCTACTGCTAGATCAGCAG